AGTTTGAGGAGAAAAAGTACCATTGCCTATGTTGAGGAGAACACTGATGGTGTTTGAGCCCTGATTTGCAGTGACAATATCTGGTTTGTTGTCGCTGTTCACATCGGCTACTGCTACTGAAAATGGTTTTACACCAACTGAGTAAGTAGTTTGATTAAGAAATGTACTATTACAAGCTAGTAAACAAGAAAAAAAAGATTTAGATTATGGTTTTAGTCATTAAAAAACACTGTTTCATTTTCTTATATTATTTAATATATAACAATTCAGCTCAAATCAAAGCAAACCAATCAATCAATAAAATCATTCCACTATGTTTATGACTAACTGTGATCTTCTATAATCCCGCCACTTACATCCTTTTTCCGATTCTATTTATCGTCTTCAACGACGTTTTAATCTACTCCAACATTAGCATAGTTGCTAATCTCGAATTTAGTTAATATATTTGTCTCTTCTGTATTCGTTTTTTCGTGCGACATCATTTTTTTCAATGTCTTTTCAATACAAAATTAATTTGTGACATTCTAAACATATTTTGACGAATACATGTTGAAATGAGCTAACACTTTGCAACAATCACTAAATATAGTTATCAGAAAAAACTGAAATATTGATAGAATCTTACTAAAAACATACTTTAATTCTATTTTAGTAATATCAAGCGAATCCAACGCAGATCTTCCAGTCATGTGATATGTCGGTTTATTGGAGTGCACTGAAAAATCTCATTACTCGAACGAATAGACATAGAATACCTCAGGAGTATAAAATTAGAACGACTGGTTCTTTCTTAGGTTTACATAGGAAACTTAAACTGAACAAGAGAGGTCTATGGGAAATAAAATGTGTTTTCTTTCACTTTTCTACAGAACATAGTAGCTCTTTTAATACCTTTTGGTTCTTTAAGAATCTATAGAAAAGTAAAATCTAACATACAAAGGACAACATCTATGCATAAAGTTAAAAGTGAATAAGTTTTGTATTTCGTAGACCTATCACCAATTGGTGTAGCTTCGAGCTGAGTTCTGCCTCAAAAGATTCTAGATTTCATTCTGCACGAAACTCTGTACGAATCTATCTCATAAAGATAAAAGTAAATAAAATTGTCTCAGCAATAGTACAAAATATAATATGAGTAACTTTCAAAATAATATCCAAAAAGAAAATGTTATTTGAAAATTACTTATCATCATCAGAAATATTCAGAAAATAAGAAACAGGAACTCGTAAGAGTATAGTTTCTCAAACTAAACAGCAATTGATCGATTGACAAGTAAAAAAGGTACTATGATTCGTGTGATATATTACTGACCAAGTGATGTTATTGTTGCCGACGTTGCTGTCCATGATTCTGCTACTGCTGTTGGTAATGTTGCTTCTGTTGATGATGACGCTGTTACTGCTGCTGTTGATGACGATGTTGCTTCTATCGATGATGATGTTACTGCTGCTGCTGCTGCTGCTGCTGCTGCTGATAATGACGATGTTGCTGCTACTACCGATATTGTACTTACTGTTGTTGTTGTTGTTGTTGTTGTTGGCATTGTTACCGATGACGTTGTTGAGATTGATGATGATGTTGTTGTTGTCAATGATGTAGTTGAGAATGATGGCGTTGATGTTGATGATGATAATGATGATGTTATTAAAGATGGTGCTGTTGCCATTTCTGTTTTTATTATTGTTGTTGTTTGTGCTATATGTTTTTTTGTTGTTATTGAGGATATAGTTTCACTCTTCTTTCCGTTTGGCATAGTTACATTATGAAAAGATGCCTGTTTCATTTGATCCTCCGTTAATTTAACGTTCGACAAATCACTATTTGAAAATTGTGCACCTGTCAGATTTGTACCATTAAAACTAGCACAACGTAGTGATGAACCATCAAATTTCGCGTTATCTAACCGTGCTCCATCAAATGATACACCATTTAAATTGACAAACGAAAACTCCCCATTTGACATTGATACTTGATCAAAAGAAACACATTGTAAATTCAACTTATTTAATACACCAGTTTCACTTGTTAGATGTACATTATCAAAGTTTAACTCATTCAAACGGATTATATCGTCTAATTTTGTTGTTCTACATCCATCAGTGCAATTATTTCTACCAATTAATTGTTTTTCTTTAAAAAATTGTATAACATCTGCTTTACGTGTTGCATCCCATTGACGATGAGCAGCACGATAATATGCATTTGCAAATGCCCATGGATTTTTTGTGTCATTAAGATAACCATCTTTATCTAATTTATAAATATTATTCAAGAATTCATCATAAAGTGTTTGTTGTCTTAATTGTGTTGATTGTTCAAAATCAAACTTTTGTTTTTTCTCAGCTTGTTGTTTTTGTTGTTGAGACCCAATTGTAGTATAAATAGCAAGAGCTATGGGTATAGCAACTGAAGATATAATAGCTAATATATCTTTTAATGTAAAATGCCAAAAAGATCGTTTGTTAAAATCTACCATTGTCTCAATCTAATTTGAGAATGAACAGTAAAATATTGTGATATGTTCGAATATAAAAAAACACAATTACTGCTCTTAACTAGTCTTTCTCTCTTTTGCCGTTTCTTTGCTATTTAACAACATATTAAGTTACAGCTTTGATTATAATTTCAAAACCAATTATTACCAAAAAAAATAAAATAAATAAATGAGTAAGTATTCATTACAGATACAACAATAATTAGAAAAATAGTTTCTTGTTACTTTTAGTTTATGAACTTTGAATTTGGTCTAGAATAACAAGAATATATAAATATCGGTACATGATGATCGCTAGGAACGATGAAAGAAGAAAACTTATACTATTGATTCAAATAGCGGAGATTTCTTCGTTTGTCTAAATACGATACAAAATCGTAGAACTTAATTAACTCTCCGAAATAATGGAAAATGTATTTTAACAATAAGTGTGAAATGACTTGGTCATATCCATTACAGACTTCTACAAAAAAAAGGGGTATTGGGGACTTAATGAATGATTTTTTTAGTCAAATGAAATCTTCCATACGAACAGTTCTAAATAACTTTTTTCTTTTAGAGTTTTTACAAAAGACCTTTGATATACATAACTTAGTCGAAACAGTTTTATAAGTGACTCAGATTATTTAAATTTATAGTGTATCAAAATTAAGAATACAATTACAAGAAAAGGACATTTATAATGTGTGATAATAAAATGAAAAGAAAAGACTTGATTAACGATTGAATCAATCTATCTTGTCTGTGTATTCATATGAAATAAACAATTTGTTGACAATATTCTTAAACTAATCCATTACACAAATGATTTATAAACTTCTTTCAATTTATTATTTTCTTTTATTTCTTTTGCTTAAAAGTTATTCTCTCCTCTTCTCTCAACAAAGTATCAATTTTAAGCAAAGAAATTCAAATATGATCTACTTACATAATTAAATCTCTTAGGCGTTTATCATTCCCTTAATTCAATTACTACAAAAATTTGAAACAAAGAAAATCATCTTATAATTGATATTATGCTAGATTTTAATTTCAAGTAAATAATAGAGAATATTTTTTAAACGAGAATAAACTACAAGTAGCGCGTCGGTCCCTTGGACCTCGCTCGACTCAATCCTGAAAGGAACAATAGATGTACTGCAAACACGACAACCTTAGATCACTAAGCATATCATATAGTGATATTAAGCAACTGGAGATCGTTATTATAGGGACACTACTCACGTCGTATTTATATGCTTTGTTTTCCGGAAATAAAAAAGACGCTCGCAACTCAAGAAAATTCACCTAGTCTGTCACACAATGCTCCTTCCACAAACAAGTATCGTTCGTCGCTTCGACTCACTTCACCCTCGACTGTATAGAATAAACCTATATTCTGTTAATACTAGACTGAGAGCATCGATCTACCAACTTATATCTGATTTGGAAGCAAATGTTTTCTCTTGAATTATAAAAGTGCACAAAAACGTTTTGCATTTTGTAAATTATTTGAAGATAAATTCCATTTTCCAACTAATATCGGTAACTAAACTCATATTATCTACGGGTAATGCGCGTTGAGGACGTTCGCTTAAAGACGATTGACCTTCACCTAACAACTATCGATTGGCGCTTAAAAAATTTTAAGCTTAACTTTTTCGCCATATCTTTTAAGGAGAGATACAACATGTTCTTTCGTGACCGCACTATATTTTTTGTCAAGGAATGTTCGTTCACCTCGTAGTCGGTCGTCGGCGTCCCTTCGGTCCGCCACTCCCGACTACTCGGTGATGTAGATTACATTTTACGACTGATATCCCATTTACTGTCTTCTCGTATCAAGTTGGTTCTCTTCATCAAGTGTTTTGAGACAGGAGTCGTTAGAGAGAGTATCAGGTGGGCGTATATGTGGATCTGGTTGTAGAGTTTGAGATTTGGGTGTGGGTGTGAGTATTTTACCGTTCTATATTATCATCCACATTCCCACACACACCCACATTCAGTTTTTCAAAAACTCAATTTCTATAGATTCTCACGTTTACTCAGCTTCTCACCCGCACCCTCAAGCTCTCTGATCAAAAAGACCTCAGACTCGGGTTTTCTTCATTGATATACCTCTAGAAATGCATTTTTTAAAATACTCGATTTCATTTGGTTTTCACGTTCATCCGGCTCCCCACCCCCACTCACATACTCACCAACGACGTCTCCATCCCTAGATGTTTGACCAAGATTACTGAGCTTACAAGCAACGCTCGTTGGAGCACTCGCTTAGCTCTTTCTCGTAGAAATGCATTTTCTCCATATTGACTGAAAACACAAACGAAAACCGTGAAAAAATCATTTTCGATATTTTTTGACCTTTGATCCCTCTTTCCCCCTCTACACGGTCACCTCAATAGTCGTCAGATTCGAAGTCCCTGCATCGAAAAACCTCTAGAAATGTCTTTTCCGAAAAGTCAGTTTTCGATGTTTTTTTGACCCTGCGGACAAACACCCTAATTTCCGTGCTGCCAACTCATCCTTTCAGGATTGAGAACATCCTTTCAGGATTGAGAATAATAAATAAAATATTTGTTTCTTTAAGTTGCTTGTATAATTAGAAGAAATTCTCTAACGGCAAATGTTATTCACCATTACATTAATTTAAATATAATTAGATCGATCATTTTGAAATTTGATTTCTATGAACTTTTTAATACATCAGTTATTTGCATTGTTATCAAAAATTTGCAAGTTAGGATATTCTATTTCAGTCTTTTGAATCACTACATGTGTCAAACTGAAAACAGTACGAAATATCTTATAATTTATTACGATTTCTTGATTATATAATATCTGTAGGATTTAATATCATAAGCACTAGGTGATATCCAATAATCTTATATTTTCATCATTTATAGCCAGTTGAACGCGTCTTTTTACGGAAACACGACCATTTGTTAAATTGCATGTAGACATAAATATTCTTATTTAAAAAATAAAATGCTTTTAAATTATAATTAGATTAAAATGTACTCGTCCATTTTGTCATATTTATAAACTAGCCTACAGAATCAAAGTCTATCTGAAAATAGAAGCCTATTGTAGTAGAAATGCAAAGAGTGAGAAGTCAATGATGTTCAATTCATCTTTTTGAGGAAATATTAGGTCATTTTCATAAGGATGTTTTGCTTTTCCTTTAAATATGATCCAAAAATTAATCATACTCAATCTACGCCTTTTGATTGATTGTATCTTGTCGAAAAAATATTAAGAAACTTGATCTTATTAAGCAGAACGACCATAAAATCAAACAGAATTTTCTAGAATTTTGAACGTATGAACATCAGTATGGTGAAACTTATGATTTGCAAGACAAAATCAAGTTTCAAATTATATTTACATTTTTTTCGTGTAAACATAATAATGAAATATAGGTCAATTTAAAACGAGTTCTAATGTTTAAATAATAATACAATGTAAAGTGATATAGTTTTTTTTTGACAATTATTCATGTTAGCTTTAATTGTGTAATGAAATAAAATATATTATAATGAAACCGGATCTCATGTCAATTATCTTGTTTTTATATAATACGATAATCATGGTATAAACAATATAATTCGAGCGAAAAGAAAATCATCATCATATATAAACGTCAGTATATTTTACATTTATTTTCATCTACAATAAATAATAAATTCCTGTACATCTGTAATAATGTCAACATCAAATACTAGTTTAATTATTATATCGACGGGTTTACCATCTGATGGTATAGCAATACCTTTGATTGGTCGATTTTGGCTTTTTCTTATTTCAAATGTTTTATCACTTGCCTGTGGCTTTTTTCTTTTTTTTCATCTGGTCTTTGATGCAACTCTTCGTCATGGTCTACATAATCATGTCATCATTGCTGTTCTTTGTCTCTGTCTTTTTCATGAATTAACAGTTATTCCTTGGGAAATACATTTCCTTCGAGTTGGTGTTGTACCTATAAAATCACAAACAGTTTGCATGATTTTCAAATTTATCGATACCGTGGTTTATACTTCAATGGCAAAACTTGTAGGATGGGCATCAGTTGAACGACATATTTTTATTTTTCACAATAAATGGATTGCAACAAAGATGCAACGTATTCTCATACATTATATACCATTAATATTGATTATTATGTATGGTATAATACTTTATGGTGTAACTACTCCAATGAATGACTGCGGTAGATCATTCAATTACAATTCAAAGTTATGTGCCTATTATAGTTGTGTATACGATTCTGCAGGATACTCTTTGTATGAGTTTATGTCTGGTGGAGTACTGTCTTCTATATGCATAGGATTTGGCAGTGCTTTTTTAGTCATTCGTATTGTTGCTCAAAAACGTCGCTTACAACAACAGGTACACTGGCGAAGATATCGTAAAATGACAATTCAACTATTGTCTGCCACATCCATTTTCTTTATCATATATTTACCTCCTGTACTTTTGGCTATTAGTCAAAAACTTGGTGTTCCATCTTCGGTAGGTTCTAGTTATACTACATACGCAAGCTTCTTCAGCAATTATGTTATCTTTCTTTTCCCATTTACATGTCTCGGTACATTACCTCAATTGCGCACTCGAGTGAAGACAATATTTCGATTTTTTTATCGACAACAACAACATAGAGTTGTCCCTCTAACAATAACTGTAAAACCAATACGACAATCACGCATATAAACGAACAGAAAAAAAGACTCCTATTTAAAATTTTGTTGTATTGTTTGTGTAATTGTAAAAAATAAATTCATTTTTTAATGAACAGAAGATTTTCTTTGTTATTTTTATCAGATGAATAATATCAGCATCTAGTATAATTAGAATTATCTTTAAGGAAAAAAATACGTCATTATCATAACTATCTAGCATAAACAATTTTCTGCAACGATTATTAGCAACTAGATGGAAGTGAAAGCAGTCATTTGTCAATTATCAGTGTTGTTTTAATGTAATATATATAGAAATAATATGATCAAAAGAAAACAAATGATAGCATAAACAAACGTTGATAGAAATCGTTTTTTGATATCTTTAAAGAATTGAATTAACAAAAGATGAAAACTTCTATAGAATACATAAAAAATGTTGAAGAAACGTTGATTCTGTTAGAAACTATATACACACTGTAATTTTATTATCATTGACATCAAAAACTCACGACTAGGTTTATACTGAATGTTCAAGGGCCGACATAATCTAATTGTTTACAAATTCAAATAAAAGATACGGAAGGAGATGACAAAACTGATATAGAATGTTGTCTACTGGAAGATCTTTTCGTAAATTCTATTTCTAATTTTGTTTCTATATGGCACAACATGTAATATATTTAAAAATTTGTAGTTGTATAAAAACAGAATATATAAGCTAGAAAACTGTTTTCTAGAGCTATTAACGATCTTTTATATTCACGAAAAATATTAGTCTTATGATTGTTTCCATTGTGGAATTTTTAAATTTCGTTTTCATTCGGAATATCAATGCCACACGAATTTACGTAAAAGACTTCTATACTATGGTCGATTATACTAATTCACAAGTGTAGTTTTTATATAAATGCATTCCACTAAAACCATTCATTGTTTATATTCACATGATGCTGGAAAAAATAAAATGATGTACATAAATCCACTAGGAAGATTAGTAAACAACTGCTATAAAATATACGGAATTTTCGATGATCACTGTCATCATTATCAAGAAAAAAGAGTGTATGAAAAATAAGACAGAAAAGACTATCATATATTAGCTGTTTTTGACAGAGAAATCTATTTTATAATGAAAAGAGTAATATTTTCCATGAATATAACAGAGCCTTAAAAGCACTATATATTATCTACGGGTAAAACTGAATATATAAGGAGATCTCTCCATAATTTAAGTCCTTTTCTTAGACATTTCAATTAATTTCTCTTGTACAAAGTGATATTAACTGTTTTCTTCGATAAGTAATAGTAGCGAGTTAATTATTTATTTTTATTCCAAATACAAGCGACTATAATGCATATGACTCTATGCTATTGACATTTCACCTAATGAATAATATGCTGATAGTTTTTGAGGATAGTTATAAAAACAGCAGACATATAAATAAAACGATTACTTTTGGACAAATTCGAACGATAAAGGTTTACTTTTATACAGACTTTCTGTTATTATTGTATAAAGGATTTCACACTATTTTATTTTTGATCAAAATATATATGTAGTGCTGGTTTTTGCGTATTGGAGATGTATATATATATTATTTATCGATGGCTTGAAGGAACTTTTGAAAGTTAAAATTATTTTCGAACTTAAATCAGACAGCTATTATGCACAACATTTGTTTTTTTATTACATTATGTCTTCGATAAGAAGAAAAAAATAAAGATAAGAACTATAATTCTTTTATCTTACATCTAAAATATATAGTCAACGATTGCCAGTGATATCACTATTTTTTTTTATAAAAGGTGAGTAAACTATTATTCATCTATATGAGCAACACTTATCGTGAGTAAGAGTGTAGATGAAATCGAAAACTCACATGCTCACAAAGTAACTGAAAATGATTGATCATAATCGAGATTCTCTTTGATAAGCTTACCATCTACTGATTCATTTATTTTAAAAATAGAGATTCTCAACCATCTACAAAATCTATTTAGTATTCAAAGAAATCGATGTAACAATATACAGTAAATAACCATTTCATTATTTGGAATCTGAACAAGTTCAGTATAGTTTTCGACGAGAAATTAGTTATATTAAAACATATCTTCTATTTTCTTTCATTTTTGTGTCCTCTTATGATATAGAGCTCTGATGAATATTTTGATTTGAAAATAAATAACACAAAACATGTCGGTGAAAATTAAAACTTCGTATTTATTTTGATTTTACAAGCACAGCAAAGTATAATTGAAAAAAAATGAAAGATTATAATAAATTTGAAGATAAAAATGAATAAGAATCAAAAGTTTTCTAACTAATAAAAAGTCTTGTTCTTTTTTTAATTCATGTATTGATTGTAACTTAGTTGTATTCTGTTTTCTTCATTTTCTTTTTCAATAATTCTGTTATATACTGCAAAATATTTCTAGTGTTTGGAGTACCAAGCCCTGTAACTGGATCCCAACCACATGCAGCTTGAAAACCTTTACACTGATCTGTGCAAACTGTTCGTGTACATTTGTTATTTCCAACTGTTATATCGTTCAAGCATTCTGGACATTCTTTGGCCATCTTGTAGAGCAATGGATTGAGAAAGCCTAATGTTTTACCTGTTATTTTTATTGAACGAGAGTTGAGAATTGAGACAATACCAGCCCACAGTGGTGCCGATATACTTGTACCAGAAACTAAACCATTAGTACCATTTACCACAGCGAAAGTATTTACACCAAATGCAGCTACATCTGGATAAGCCCGTCCATATCGATTGTACATTGATGGTGGAGGAAACACCACTGATGTTTTTTTAAAGTAATCATAAACAGCAGCTTTTTGATAAGGTGGTTGAGGAGCAAAGTTTGAAAATCCACCCCCACTAGTATACTTAGCGAAAAGAGGATCATAAACACTAACAGCGATTTCATCTCCACCAGATACACACACGAGCGGTGGATTGAACGCAGTACAAGCTGGTGGTTGATCTTGCAATACGTTGTACTGTACATTAACTAATGTAGTTGCACCAACTGATGTTACGAAAGGTGAAGAGGCTGGATATATGGGATTGAACATTGTATTTGTACAATCTGCATAAAAATCATTTACTCCATCATCACCAGTTGCGACTATAACTGTAATACCTCTCATTGTCAGCTTCATAAATTCAATATTTGCACGAATAGTAAATCTTTTATTCAGATCCACGACGTTTTGATCACAGTTGGTAACACCTGCACATACATTTGCTTCAGGCCTACCATACGAAATGGACAGAATTTGTGGCAGATCATCCAATTCATTTATTGTAAGTATCTTTATAAACATACCATCACTACTTATGTTCTTCACGTCATCGTTGAAATACCAAGTTTCAGCCAAAGGATTTATTCCCACCATTTGTTCAATATCTAACATTGTCTCGAGACCTGGATTCGATGGATCGTTAATACCCAGAATATGGTTTGATTCAAGAAGGTTGGACGGTATGTTCATCAGTTGCAAATATTTCTCTAAATCTTGTTCACTATAGAACTGACCTCCAAATTCTAATGCTCCTTGTGAAACATCTGATTCTAAACCAGTTTTCGAGACATCTGGAATGTTATAATACGGTTTAACAAATTGAGGAACAAGTATAGGAATATTTTGAGTAGTTACTGTATCCGTAGCATTTGCATCACTTGAAAAGACAGTAAGTTTTTTAGATGGATTGGTAGGTTCTCTGTTATTAAATGGATCATCGATGAAATCAAGCCAGAAATCAACATATTGACTAATTTCATCTGTCAAACACATTTCGCCTTGAGCTAGATGGGTAATTCTTCCTGTCTTGGTATTTTTAAAGGGACGAAATTGAGCTGAAAAAAATTCTGATGCTTGTCGAATTGTCGTCTTAATCGCAAATACATCAGTTCCAATTAATTCCACAGATGTAAACGATTGTTTGCGCAAAAATCGTTTAACTGCACTCAAAATTTTACTATCGAGTGTCAGAATTTTGTTAATTTCTGAACGCGTCAACCATTTCTGATATTCACTACTGTCGGGATCGGTGATTTTCCAGAATATTCTTTCCAATTTTTGCACTGCTTTTGGATTTTGTTTTAGAGCCAGAAAAAATGTAATTGCTGCATTTGGATCTGATAATTCAGACAAAGGTAACAGCCAAATAGGAGCTTGACCTTTTAATAGAATAAATGTAGCAAAAATCAAAAGAACAAATAGATTGTTTCTATAGATAGAAAACAATAGATAAAAGAACGCATCCATGTTTTCCGAAGAACAAACGCTGTATCCAGTAGTAACAATGAAGTGAGTTTATCCTATTTGTTTTTAAATCTATCATACATCATAACTAAGAATTATAAAGATAGACTACATGTTACCATATATTTATCTTAAATAACAGATAATGTTTAAAACACAAAAACTAAACCAGTAGAAAAGTTATATTTTCAGTTTCTACAATGAACATAATGTATAGTAGAATTATTAGACAGTGTAAATGATCAGTCGAAATGGGAACAAGTGCCGGTTAATAACTATTGTGAAGTAAGAAATCGGTACAACATCCTCCTGTACTATTCATGATTTTGAGTTTCTTTTCTTTTCTTTTTCATTTTGATTAGTTGGCATGCGAATTTAGATACTCTGTGTAGTATATAAACACATATTGAGGATCTAATCCCCTCTCATTTACATATAATAAGCTCGAAAAAATTTCTCTTCTATTGTAGCTTTCTCAGAACCAGCTTTTCAAACAGAAGTTTTAAGTTTTGTCTTAATTGTTTTAACAGATTATAGTACAATAAATATTTTAAATGAATATAATATATTCATAATGTTCAATGATATGTACCGAAGAAAGTGAAAGAATTCAAGAAAACAATTCAACAAATTCTTTTATATCTACTTAAAACATTGATAAAAAGAAAAACTTGTATTCAATTCTCACTATATCAGACAATGTACACAGCTTGACTTACCTGGGAATACGGATGCTTGGCATAGTGTTGTGTTCGGCGTAGGTGTTTCTAAAAAAAGTATCGTTGTTAGTTATCATTTTGTATTTGTATACGTTAATCAAAACAGAAACTTTATTTATAGATAGGAAACTTCTTCTTTTTCAAAGAATGACAAAAGGAAGAAATACACCCAAGTTCAAAAAAACTTGCACAAAATTGAATTTTTTGTATAACGATTTTCTTATCGTTAGAAAGTAATTAAAAGTTTAACTTTTTCAGGAATATATGTCCGTTAGTAATACTACACGTTGACTATATAAAAGCGTGAATTCTTTTCTTTTTAACTCATAAACATTTAATCATGACATAATCTACTTGTGACGGATTATGATTCGTCCATCATTTATCTCTCTCTTTCTTCTCCTCGCATGCAGCTATAAATAGCTGCACTAACGTATTGTAAGTCAGTCAGTCGGTCAGCGACTGCTGATTCACTCCCTTTCCTCTTCTCTCCTGTTCATCTTGTTGTCTTTCTTAGGATATATGATACAATAAAGGATACACATTAACATTTCCGTTATACTACTCATTTAAAAAACTATCCTATATAGACATTATATTATTGTAAAAGAGGCATGGGATGCGCTCGTGCTATTCATCATGAAATAAAGATATCATCAAGGACTATCTATTACAATATAAATAAATTGAAACAAATAAATTCACTTAATCAGTGAAGAGGAAATGGTCGACTATGTGCCACATGGAAATAGAAAAAATCTATGTTGCTCAATATATTCGATGTAACAATTAAATAATCCCCAATGAAATTAGAGAAAAATTATCGACAATTAATGGTTCATATTATGCTCACACACTAAAAAATTATCTTCTTTCTGCTACTAGGCAAGAATTTCGTCAAAATTGGTGTTTAAAAGAAGACAAAGATCGTAATCATACGCACAATATTTCCAAACAGTTGATCAACAACAAAATATTAGAGTTATTGGAGTGCTCATCTGATACTCGAAACGCTAATCCTATCGAGAACTTATGATCGATCGTAAAACGCTAAGCGGAAAGAAGAAAATCGAAAAACATTGATGAATTTGAGCTTTTTTCATGTGAAGAAGTTAAAAATGTTGATGTTAATTTTGTAATGAATTTTGTGATGTCGATGAAAAAAAGAAGTTTGTCTCTTATTGAATCTAAAGATGAACGAGTAAAATATTGAAGTATAGTGCTAAATAGTACTCGGCATAGGCTATCAGCCAGTTATGGAAACTACTTGAGAGTGACTTACATATGGGGATATATTTACATAACAAAATGTGCAAGTTTTTTTGAACTTGGGTGTATATCTCAGAATTATGATAACAACTAATTGAAACTCATATTTGCACTAAAACTAAAGTCTATCAGTATAGATACCTGGATTTTGTGTTGTTGTCTTTATTGTTGTCTTCGGTTTCTTTGTTGTCTTTGATGCTCTATGTTTGTTATCTTAAAAAAAAGACAAGAATAATATTAACGAAACAAATATTACAAGTAAAATAGTACTAAAAAAATAGCTATAACTCAACATAGATCTGGCATACAGTATCTACGAACATGTACAATTAAAAAATAGAAGTTAGTTTCGATCAGTTTGACTTCTTGACGAAGTGGTATCAATGATTATCCTCTGACTTTAACTATCAAAGTAAACAAATGAACTTCTTATCTAAATTTTACATTACCATGACGAGGTGGATGTGGTCGATAACGATAGTATGGATTTTTTTCATATGTTGATGATCGATCATTGTATCTGTATGGTGATTTAGAACGCTGATATTCTGAATCATAGGATGAACCAGATTTAGTGCGAATATCATCGGCGACATCATCATTGTCGGAATCTACATCAGATGTATCGAAATCCATTTCTATAAAATAAGAGAAATATTAAAATTTATTCATTTGAAACTAAATTCTAGAAAAAAAGGTACGTCTATCAATGGCTTTCTATCATTATTTATTTTGAATAAATAATTTTACTTGCGGAAAAATACGGTACTATAAACAGTCTGTTTCTATGAAATATTTTACCTAGATTTTTAATATCGATTGCATTTTCAAGTTTGTTTATTTTATAAGACATATACACAATAGCAGTTGTACCCAATACCAGAATCAGTAGCGTGGTGACATAGAATGTTTTACTACTGGGTATACTCCGATTCGAATACCACCGTCGCCTGTAGAAATAACACAAAGAAATATAATATATGATTATAATATAATAGACAGACCTCTGTAACGGTTGTTCTTGTTCCTCTTCTATTGTGAATGATTTATCGTGCAGTTTGTTGCTAACATTTACAGCTTCATCTACAAATGATGTAACATTTTGTATCTTGTTAACTCTCAAATACTTACATCCTACAGCTTTGCTTTGTTGATCTCGCTCTTCCATCATGACGTTGAATGTTTTTGTTTGATACTTGTTAATATGAAAGAATAGTCTTTGATTTTGAGTATTTATATATTAATACAGGTACAGCCTAATAAATAAATAAAAAGGCAAAAAAAATGACATTTATTGGACAATATCTAGATCACGCGCTGTATGATTATAAAAATGAATGCATATAAACGATAAAAATGATAAAAAAAAGCAATTTAGATTGAATACCATTTCGATCATATGATGTATGATTATAGAAAATAAATGTATGTGAGCGATAAAACGCAACAAAATAAAATCATAAATATTTTATAGTATCTAAACCATTCGTTGTATGCATGATAAAAACAAATGCTAAATCGTTTTATTTATGATGATTGCAATCTTTGTATAAAAAAACCGAGGGTTCTTTATGATTTGTTTTGATGTACACTGTATGTTGGAAGTTTTTATTTTATATGTATCTAATGACTTATCGAATTACCAATATATTTCAGTTTTCTGTTCAGTCATGTTTAAACTAATGAAATATCTACTATCTCCCTAATACTGTGGTCAAACGTCGTCGCTATTCATGATAATATTAATCGATAATTATTATGAAATTTATTTAATTGAAAGTAGATAAATACAAGAGCACCTTTATGATATACTAATATTGCTAATATACGTGTACCTAATTAATAAACTAATTTAATATTTGAACTAAACAACATATCATCGATATATTTAAAAATGAGATTATTCTATCATGAAATAATCTTTGAATAATAAACGAAACAGATTAGCCATGTATTTCATTTGATATTTATTGTCGAGGAACATGTGATTTATTATCTTTTATAACAACGAATGAATAGAAACAAAACCTTTTCTATTCATTCAAATGTTTCGTAAGAAATTGTGACGTAATAAGTTTATGTATATCATGTACATCAGTAAGAGAATGATAAAATGACTTTAAGTTTAAAATATTCTTGATTCTTAAAAATAAAGATTGTTTTTTTTCTGTATTGAGGGTGTGGGTGTGGGTGTGGGTAGGTGGGCGTGAGTGTGGGTGTAGTTTCAAACCACCACACATTCTCAAGTTCTAGGAATGACAAGGCAATCTTATAATTTTCAGACGTATACCGGATTGTCCTGAGAAATCTTGGAGAGTTTTATAATATCCTAAAAAATCATAGAGAATTTATGGGAATCCAGGAGCTCAGGATTCCTATCTTTCCCTGTTGGCGAGTGGGTTTGTGAGGATTTAGGTATGGGTAGCAGGCCAATATATCACTGATACCCACCCTCATCCACCTATACCTACAGTCTCGTTGCTTCACAACGCATGGATACTTATGATAAAATAATTCGTTGCAAACATAGATAAGAACAACAAAAGTGACTTGATTTATTTGGTCCACTCGTTAAGACTTTACAAAAAAAAGTATAACGAATGAATTATCTCATACAAAAACTACACTTTGTTTATACACCATTATCATTGCGTTATGAAAATATATTAGAAATACATATAATATTATTTGATTTTTTTTATAAGAATTTAATTGATTAGGTCAAAATTAATAAATTCAAATGATTTTTATTATTAAATTCAACGTTTTATGTTTTTTTGATGAATTTTATCGTCATATATTAGATATTTTTCGTTAACTTAGCATTATATTCAAAAGATTCTGTATTAAAATTTGGTATTTCATATAATTACATAATATAACATTTGGTTATTTTAAAATATTGACTTTGTTGACTGATAATTCTCAATCAGATAATAAACAGATTTTAATCGAATATGTTACGAATATCTTTATCATTTTGATATTTATTATGAAAAAATTAAATCTTTTACAAATGAATCAAAAACTAAAGATTTAACAAAAGATAATATCAAACATTTAATAATTAATGAAAAAAATATTCGAATAAATTTATAAAAAGAAAATGAAGAATTAGGTAGAAATGTATTCTTTTAAAATGTATAGACGGTGTGGGTGCGATCTCTAACTGATGTCCACACCCACACCCTAAATCAACTACTTCAAAGTCCTTTCAATTTGATTTCTGTTTTTATCGTATTATTTGTATCAAAGAGTTTCCATTTGCATTTGTATATATGTATATGTATATTACATGAAACGTATCAATGATCTTTTTTTTATTTATATTTAAAATATATAGGCGTGCGCGATTCAATAAACGCAAGAAATATCAATGAAAAAGCAAGCGAAAAGCTATAAGCAGAAAAAATATGAATATACGTAATATCACTATGGTAGATTGAATCAATCTATTTTCTCAAAACAAAGCCATGTGTATACTTTTAATAAATCCTTTAAAGAATATGATATTGGTAAATGATATACGTTTTGTATTCCAAAAATAAGAGCAGTCGATGTCTTGTATCGTCTGCGTGAGTGTTTACGGTAAATTGTAATCCTTATCAACGAACTAGCAACTAAGATAGGATGGCTGGCGATACAGCATTCCGTTTTACTCTACATCTTCGAATGCAAAAAGCAATAAGTCGGACCACTCGTGGTACGATCAGTTTCAGTACTGTTATTAGTCCACCTACTAGTCCAATCACTGTCGTTATTATATAGATTACATCATTCTTTCCTTGATAACTATAACTACATTTCGATGGCTGACATTCATTATAATAACCATCATATATTGTTGCATTATTCCATTCTTCAACCATCAACTCATCTACAAGTTCCTGTATTGTAGAATTCATACCAAATCGAAATAATAATGAGGCATCAAGTGTTGTTAAATTCATTGATAAATAGTATGTGAAATATGATTGTATTTTATTGATACATGTTACATTATAAAAGCACTGGAGATTTGACTGAAGTAATGCTTCAATTATATAACATCCTGCATATATACCCGGTACAGTAAATAATACATTGTCACTGGGATCATAAATTGAAGATTCATAAGCACATGTTGCTGAAGATGCACAGCTACAATTACCATACGCTTGATAATATGAAGTTACATAGTTATTACTTTGTGTGTAAAGGTAGTAGTTAGTGAATTGTGCAGCAAGTAAGTTATTACTTTGAGTTGTTGTTCTTATTGTTGAAAGTGATAATAAAAAATCATGGGTTATTGATGATTTAAACTGTGAAACAAATGCTTGAGTTTGTGACTGAAATACTTGTAAGGGTGTCACAGATGCACTAACATATTGACTTGAATAGAACTGCATAAGACGATTAGATATTGTTTCATTAGATAGCTGACAAAAGGCATGTAGAGCTTGAAATATAAATGTACCTATCCATCGAAAATCGTCAAAGTAGTTAGGTGTTCCACGAGCATTAGCAAGATAACTAGTCCAGTTGTCATTGACAAAGATGCTTGTACATATTTGATGTTGTTTATAGTTGACTTGAAGAAATTTATCATAGTTGATGGATATTTGTGTGCATGCACATGTTAATGTTTGTGGATAGGTTGAATATAGTTGTGAGTAGTGTGTGCTAGTAGGTGATTTGATGTCGAAGGTGTGGGTGGTGTTAATAAATGAAGTGTATAAGATAAGTGTAGTTAATGATAATGTTAACAGAATGATGAACAATCTAGTTGATATTCGTTGATTTCGAAGTTGGTGTTGATCAGTTGAAGGTGGAATTGTTGAAAACAAATTAAAGTCGCGAACAGCAGACCTTAATTTCAACCATAATTGAGAAAATGAGAGGGGACAGCCTGACACTAAAGGAAAACATCCAAACGAAATATTTATAAGACATTATTTTACAAGAATTCTCATACAAAGAAAACGCATTGCGACTATCAGTTATAGAAGGTGTGAGTGTGTTCAGTGATTATAGTTACACCTACCTACCCTCAAATTCTTTGTAGAACAGTAAATAACGATCCATTTTGAATAATTTCTCGTTTTATATTTTTCTCAAAAGTTTTCTCATCGAACTATAATCAATTCGTAGTCGAGAAAACCATATCTGCATTGAAACACGAAAGGAAAAATACATGACGTATAACTAGTGACGGCGCCAAGGGTGGGCTGGGGTGGACTGAGCCCACCCTGAGATTTTTTTTAGATCTTAAAAAAATCAATGATATTCTATCTGAGCCCACCCTATTTGAAATTTACTAGGCCTGAGCTCACCCTAGTCAAAAATCCTGGAGCCGCCGCTACGTATAACTAGCAAAGAAAGAAATAGGGGAAACGTCGATATAACCATATAGATAACAAGAGAAGATCCTTATAATCGCATTTGAAGAAGAGATACGATAAAGTTAAAACTCAATCATTTATCTTTGCGAAAATAATTGAAAAGAAACTGTTGCAATGGTCTTTCCATATCCGACAAATAAAGGGAAGTTCAATGGATTTATATTTCTGTAGAAAAGATACAAAAAAGAAATATACATACTATTTATTATTCAATGAGAATATTGATGCCAGGATGTCCAATAAAAGACGTGATTTGGTCGATGAATAATAAGCTGAAATTGATATCAAACAAACTATGTGTTAGTATATGATTATAGCAGATGATAATTAAATAAAATTTAGAAAAATCTGTATATAAATGTTATATCAATTAAGTTTAGATGGTCGCATGAGTGTGCGTGTGTATCAGATGTATAAATAAGGAACATAATACTCATGCTTCTGATGTATATAATATCTTTTTTTTCCAGTTTTTGGAAAAAGTTATAAGGATCTCTTAGAATCTATAAGAACATCTACCATTATCTTTAGGGTTTTCACATAGGGAATGCTTGTTTTAGATATAAGTATGATGAAACACAGATGTTCTTGCAGAAGAAACTAATACATACCAAAAAACTGTTCTTGTTGTTAA